AGCTTACCCTCCTACCTTTAAAATTACCTGATGCTGTTGCCATATCTGATTTTGAATTTATACACATTGGGTCCTGCATGAAGAAACCTCGTCTCTGGAAATGGGTAGGTAAAGGGTTTTAAACTCATTGCTTCCAAACAATAGCCTAAATAAAGTAGAAATATTAGAGAATTACTAAAAAACTAAAGATTGCTCCTTATGTACAGGAAAGGAAGCCTGCCCAATCTGTAGCATTTCTTCGTAAGTAAAATATCCAACACTCAGCACTACTGCCTATGTACCAGACTCAGTTCTGCTATTAATCACCTGGGTCATTCTCCTACTTACATGGGGAAAATACATGGTGTGCTGGAATGATCTCTATGCTTGAAGTCAAAGACCAGAATTCAAGTTTTATCATTTATGACTTGTGCACATCACTTCTCTTCCATAAAACTAAGGATACTAATATCTTCCCTGATGACTCACAGGGTTTCTGTTAGAATGAAATGTTTCTCCCAAATATCCCTTGAATCTATTCTCTCTCCGCATTCCTACTTTCCCTGGAACCTCAGTGGATATGAAGAGGGCTCAAGTTAAATAACGAGACAATCAAAAGGATACAACAATAAGAGGCCAATTAGGAGGACCTCTGCTATCAATTTTAGATGAAATTAAGTGATTACCACAGCTCCCTGACAGAGTCAATGTAGCACATAAAGATATACGCTGTTTCCCAGTGATGCCAGGGAACGCCTTATTTTCCCGGCCTCTCAATTTACCCTTCCTCTCCACCACTTGCGAGGCTGCCGTGTGTCTCAAGAATGCCTACTATACCCCTAGCACTTACTGGTTTTATTTTTTCTATCCTTGAATCTCTGCCCTCTTAAAATCCTCTCTGTGGGAAACTGAGGAAATGGGAGAGATGGAAAAAGAAGGATGCCACGTTTCTTCTCCTCCAAGAGGGCATTTGGCATGTGCTCAGAAGTAAGAATCAAGCACGCTGTGATTTTCTAAGTCACTAGGGTTTTCCTGTGCCTCTCTTTATTTGTAAAGTAGAGATGATAAAGATAATAAACCCTGCACTCTGTCTCTTCACAAGGAACTTTAAATAATAAATAATTAGAAAAAGAGGTCCAGAGTTCCTAAGGATCAAAATGACCTATATACAACACAAATATTGATTTTAGGGGCAACCGAGATGGACTGGATAGAACAGGCACAAAGTAAGGAGAATCTGAGTTTGAATCTCAGCTCCCACGTCTCTAATTAATTTCTCTGAGCGTTGGTTCTCCTACTTACCCAATAACATCTATCAACAACTTCTGTCACACCCTATTTTAAGTGCTTCACATATATTATCTCACTTAATCCTCACAACAAGCCTATGAGATAGTCTAAA